CACCCTCTTGCATGTAAAAGTTTCTGTATGAATAAACCTTTCTTTAATTGCTTGTTGTCATAGTAAACCTTGTCAGAGAAGCTTTTTCTTTAGGTCACCGGTGTGGAAATTCCTTCCTTACTGGCTCTTACTCATCCTTAAGTGCGCAAGTAGCAGACAATACGAGCATGAACAAGTATACAAAAAGTGAGGTTAGGAAATGGGCACTTTTGCCTCTCAAAAGGTATAGATATGCTAGATATACATGCACAGCTGGGAAGTTTTAACCAGTACAATCACCCAGCTGTCTGCGTCAGTAACATGCTGGTATCCATCACTAATGTCTGACACTAAAGGAAGCTTCTTCATTTAAAGACTACCTTTACCTTGCATTTAGCACATAGTGCTGGGTGATGCTTCTGCAGATGGGTGTTCATATTAACTATATTTGTTCCTCTGGCTACCACTGTCCAAACACACGTCGGGCAACCTTCTCCCTCCAAGCCGCTGACGTCCACTATAGTCATAAAGCTAACTTAAATGTGCTTCATACATGGCAGGAAATATATGATGTAAAACCTTCACTCTTTTAAAGCTGTGACCTTTGAACCACTAAATGGCCGATGTCTAGTTATACCTATGTTTTTATTTTTATTTTAATTTGATTAATTTGTTCATAGACTCATCATCCCAGGTGAGACTGAATCTAAATACCTTTTTTGCAAGATAACTTACAAGTGGTGAAGATGCTAACATGAATATAGGGGTGTGGGAAATAATCGTTTTGGCGTTATATCGTGATATTTTACCAAAGGAAAGGAAGTTGCCTAATAATTAAGCAAACCTTATATAGGTTGTTGATGTCATTAGGCCAAACCCCTTCTCATTACAGAGATGCATACCACCTGATTTACTTAATTAGTAGTTGGCTTTCAAGCCTTTACAGCTTGGAGTAGGACAACATGTATGAAAAGGATGATGTAGTCAAAATACTCATTTGCCTAATAATTCTTCACACAGTGTATATGGATTCTTTTTCCAGCTACCGTGATCTTCAGACTATAAGCCGCAACTTTCCCCCCATTTTTGACCTTGTGGCTTATATAACAATGCGGCTTATCTGTGGACTTTTCCAGCTAACGACCACTAGGGTAATACCTAAATCTATGGATTTTACCATCCACCATGTTGACGTCACATTTGCTTCAACACAAGTACGGTAGCCGCGCGCTCGGGAATGCGGAGGTCCTCCGGAAGCAGACTTCTACAGCGAGTGGTACGAGACAGAACGACGGCGAGAAAGACGGACACTGCGAGCGCAAGACAGTTTGTGTGACACCCTCATTACCGGTAGAAATGCATATGATGTAGCTTTTAAGTTAAAGGCAGTCAATTTGGCAGTAAACAGTTGCCTCTTTCCCGACAATCCTCTCTGTGCACGAACCATATGGTAATTAAACATAAAAAACCTGACGCTTATAGTCCGGTGCGGCTTGTATATGTACAAATCATGCAATTTAGCTTCTGCGGCTTATATTCAGGTGCGGCTAATAGTCCGAAAATTACGGTATATATTTTTTAAGTTGCTTGAAGTTTTATCTGTTCTGTAAACGGTTAGGTTTAACCTTTCCATTAAGATGTAATCCCCTAACACCAACACATGGTCTGCACATAAAGCACTGTGTGTGTAAAAAAAAAAAAAAGTTAATTAGCCTTTTTATAAAACCGTTATCCTATAAAAAATGACTGTTTTTCTATATTCAGTAGTCTATAGGCAGTAGGAGTTTGTGTGGAATCTGGGTTTGCATACCTTTCCAGCTCTGTCATGGTTCAGTATTTGTTTGAAATCACTTTCTACCACTTTCGGTTTTGTGTATTGCTGTTTCTTTGTCTTCCATCCTGATATTGTTGTGAACAGATATCATTTGCCAACACGGCTCTTAGAAGCGGGACAGTTATGCTGTGAAACTACGGGGGTTTCCCCCGACTCCAGTCACAGTGGTGACTCACAGCTGCTGGTGTCCTGTGGAATTTGGTCAAGTGACCGTTTAGGGTTGAAAGAATCTCATAACCTACTTCCCCTTTGATATCTATTTTCCTCCTGTACAGTTTATGCTTCTTGCTTTTTTTTATAGCTGCCAGGTCTTGTGAGTATGCATCAAAAACAGTAATGATGTGCAAGAAGGTAAACAAGGCCAAGCTGCCGTTATGGTATTTCCAGCTCTTTAAAAATCATCCTAAATAGGCCATAAATCTATGCAGATCTAGGCTAGGGTGTATAATATTTTATTAAAATAAAAAAAAAATCTCTTCACCTTCTAATGTTATCTCAAGCAAAGATAACCAAACTTTAGACAGAGGGGACATCCTGCTCAATACTGGATCTCTGTTAACTCAGAGGGCAAGAATGCTTAAAGCCTGGTCAGCGCTGACCTTTGAACATTTCACTCATCCTTCTTTCCAGTATCAATGTTTTGCCATTAAATGCTCCATTATATTCTATGCCAGTGAAATTCACTTGCATATGTGCAGCAACAGACGTTGTAAGCTGAGCGTTAAATTCAAGCCCTTCTTCTATCTGCCTTTCTCCACTTTATTTTCCCATGGTGTTTTTTTACCTCCTCCTTTAAGTCTTCTTTGGGTGCTATATTAGTATCTGAACTGACAGCATTCCTGGGAGACGGCACACCCCAAATGACGACAACTTTTGGGAGGCTGGAAGGCATTTGGGGGATGTTCATTTCTTTACAATTTCTGATCTGATAAAGCCACACCTTCACGGCTGGATGCATCAAAAACCACACACCCTTTACCTTGCGGTTCCACATGGAGCGGTTCAAATACTAAAGAGAGACTTTGCATGCCATTCTAACTTTGGAGGATATTTTCTGTGCTTGTTAGGTTTATTACTGCCCTAAGTATTTATTTATTTATTACATTGCTGTACCTTAAGAGATTAGGCTAAAAATTAAAAAGATCATTTTTGTAAACATTAAAAAAATGGTTCAGATAAGCACTTTTCGTATTCGTATTTCGAATTCGTAACGTGAGATTTTACAAAAAGTGATGGTTATTAATTAATGTATCCATATCATTAAAACAAATATAACAATTGGTCAGTGTGTGATAATATTCGATTTTAAAGACCAAAATACGAAAACTACAAATTTTTTTTTTATTACGTGAAAGATTTGATTTCAATAATGATTTTTTTTTTTAACCACCCTGACTTTATGTTAAACAGTAGGTTTGCTTACATTAATTCAACTATTAACTGTGGTTGTTCATTTTGCTTAATTTTAAAAAAACACAATAGCTCAACCCAAATAATTCCACCTTAAATAGGAACTGTATTAAGATAACTGTCCTGATCTAAAGACATTTAGGAAAAGTTTTTCTACCTTTCTGTGTTTTACAAAATAAATAGTGTTTAAGAATCTGTTGAGGATGCAGATACTTTCTGTTTATATGATTAAAACTAGGGATGCACGATATAATCGGCCCCCTATCGGTATCGGCCTTAAAACTGAATATCGGACATCGGCCACCCCACCGATATTTAACCCGATATTTGATCAGCTTCTGAGTTTCTGA